TAAGGCCAGGAGCCCCTAGTAGCGTCCTTGCTCCTAGTAGCGATGCCCTTTGTTCCTAGTAGCTTCTTTGCTACTCTAGTTTGCTAGTAGGTTGGAGGCCAAGGTCACTTTTCTCAGCCAACGCCTTTCGCTTCAAGTGAACAGAACCTTCGGCTTCACCGTCCGTTCGCTCTGAATTGCTTCAGCCAAAGCAAACAGGTGGGCGTTCGTATGTGGTTCATACTATCTGTAGCCCCCGGATGTGTAAAGCACAAGACCGATGCCAAGTAGCAAGAAAAGCAGTTCTGTTGCAACGTTGGCGATCATTCAGGGCGCATACCCAGCCGTTCTCAATGGCTGCAAAAATTTGGTTGCCATGTGGTAAAGCCACTTTGGGTCCATTGTGCAACTAAGTCCCTTTGGGGATCAATATGTTTAAAAATTGAACAAAAAGTACAGTCCTGTTTCACAGGCCTGTTCAATCTGTGCTCACTCAATCTGCACAGAGCGCGCTGATGGCACCGAACAGCAATTCAAAAGCCAACACCTTGCTTGACAAAGGGAAAGGCATTGCCAAAACATCTTATGGTTCTGCCAGTCCCCCCCAAAAAAAGTGTTCAGGACAAAAAGATAAAAAAATAGGTTGGAGGCCATCGCTACTAGGTCAAGAGAAGGGAAAGGAGGGTCTAAAGGCTTTGGACTTGCCTATTCGGTGCTACTTGGAACACCTTTCGTGTATCAAAATGGCCTGAGTAGGTCGAACCATAGTAGCGAGATGGCCTGATTGGTTCAGGATTTACAGCGCCCCTAGTAGCGTCCTTGCTCCTAGTAGCGATTCCTAGGGCGGTTACTAGTAGTAAGGCCAGGAGCCACTAGTAGCGTTTTTACAGCACGATCCTGTAATGAGACACCATTTCTGTAAGAACTCAGCACTCAAATCCCAAACTGAAGGCTAGCATTGCATGCGATTGCAGGGGTGCAAAACTACGATGTAAACACCACTGGCCTTCTGCCGCGAAGACTGCAATCATCTGCCGACCCTGCATCCGCACCTTTGAACACAACGCCAGCTGGGAATTCTTCAGGAAGGGGCACACCAGCCCAAGTAGGTCAAGACCCGCAGCTAGATGTAGTCAATAAGTAGTAGTTGCTGGCAGTGCTGCATTCAGATGGACAGAATGAATCGTGTTGCATCAGTTGCATCCGGGGCCTTCTTCAGTAGCTCGCTGCGACATCCAGGCGGCTCGCGCTCCCAGGCACCGTACCGAAGAAGTAGCCCTAAGGATGCAAAAAACAGTAATGTAGGTAGAAGTTACTAGTGCTACTCGTAGTTTCTAGCCTTGTTGCTAGTAGCATTTTGTTTGCCCAGTATCTTGTCAAGCACGTTCGTCAGTTCTACCCCAACACAAAAACTGCACATGAAGGAGCAAAACTGTTTCCTTGCCTGGAGTCTTTTGAGGTCTAAGCCCACGGTCCATTAGGCCCTCTGCCCCAGTCGTCTGGTTCCAGGAATAGGGCAAAGCAAGGTTGCAGCGTCTAACACACTGTGTTCTTGATGTGTTTTCTGGAATCGATCTCAACGGGCATGTCTCAGTTCATACAGTAAAAACTGAGGGCTTTGAAGGACAGATGCCCGGCCCATCACTTTTCACCAGTTTGCCTTGCGATATAAGAACAAGAAACTACTAGAAATAAAGAGCATCGCTACTAGGAGCAAGATCGCTACTAGAGGCCCCT